CTCATATTCTACTAGTTGACCTGAGCAACTTTGTCTATACTATACTTTTACTATACTTTTATACGTCTCTCAGAAGTAATACATTTGCCCTATTTTTGTAACATTCTTCATTGATGCTCCGCTCCTGACGTGTTGTTATGCATATAGCCTATCCTCCATAAATGGTCATCATCATCATAGGCAAAGACCTGTTTTTATATAATATATACAAGTATTATCACACAATAAAATATTATTGTTATTACTAAGGTTATCACATTATTTAAGATGTACGTTATTGTTTATTAAACAGTGCCTATTGAGTGTTTTTGTACATTCATCACAGCTTTTGCAAAATATACAGTAAAATATGAACTTAATATTACATGAGCTTATCTACCAGCTCACTTTTAGGTGATACCGAGATATTTTTTTGCTGGACTCCTTTGGAGAAACAAAAGCATATTTCTGTCTAATGAAAATTTTTTATAGTCCATTCGCGATAAGAAAATAGTGACTATCGTTGTCTCCTGTGTAACAGTTATTTTTTTAGTATATTTGTATTGCGTACGGATTTGTCAACAGCGACACCTATTGCCCGCGTCGCATTTCTTGATTTATCCAAAGTAGTTTGTAGCTATAGTATTGATGTTCTTCGTCCGCCATCGGACCACTAGATGGCGTTGTTTTATGGGTAAGTCATTGAATTAATTTATCCTGACAAATTGTATTGGTGTTAAAAGTGTCTTGTTATGGTGGGAAGCGAGTTACTTTTGATTTAGTTCGTGTTAACCTAGATAATAATTTGAGTGACAGTTTGAAATGTTAAAGTAGGGATTCTTTCTGGAAAGTTCACAAACCGAACATATATAAGTCCGGCTTTCAGCCACAGGGGACTCTGCTAATTCTTGTCTTTCGATCTTAAATAGTATTTTGTTTGTCTGGTGATTTCATATTAGTTATATTTTATCTGTTCGAAGTACCCACGCCAATGGGTCCCAGATTTCGGGTCAAGACGGTCAGTCTCAGACGGCATGCTTGTTCATTTGTGGCCTTCTGGTGCGAAATCAAGTTTCTTGGTACCCTCTGGCAAACTGGCAGTCACGCGGCTCACCAAACAAGCGGACAGCCGTACTCAAGGGTTACGTACTTCTCGTTAACTTTATTTATATCATTAGTGAACCTTCCTTTATACCTAATATAAATAGCCGACTCGGGCGGAAGGGGAAGTGACCTCCTGGATTGAAGACGAGGAGGCTCCGAGCAGCATCAGCTCGGCTCTGACGCGCGCCGCTGCGGTTTTTTTTATATACCCACTATTTTTTATTGTAACTGATTTTTTTTATTGAAATATACATGTATGTATGACTGAGGTGTAAGTTGTCTTTCTCTAAGGGGTCCCGTAGGTATCCCACACGTACACACTTCTGTTTAATAAAAGGCGCCCTGAGGTAATCTTGTGAATCTCTCCACTGGGTCAGCCGGTGAGTAGTCCGCCTGATAAGAAAAGCGGCTACACCTGATATGCTCAACAAAAGGGGGCCGGCTTCAACAAAACATCTACCCGCGGCAAGAGCAGTCAGCAGTCACCAGGGGTGTCCACGTCAAGCGTGGTCACCCCTCACTACGCTGACGTGGACTTATGTAACATCAGGGTGATCAACAACACTCCAACCTTACCGCTATCCACCACCTTAGTAAAGCCGGCCTAGCTCTTATCATCTCCATCGGGCACATCCTTCCTCTCGTATTCTGGCTATCATCTGGAACACCCCTTTGTTGCTAGAGCTGGATTGTGCGTGTACGTTAGAGAAGACATCAGTTCTCGCCGTATCGGCAATTTTGAAGGACGGGACCTCTCCATCTTATGGCTTCGTATAGACAGCGTCGACCATCGCCGCATCAATGTATGCCTCTACAGATCCCGTAGCGGTGATACCGAAACTGAACTACTGATAGACTACGACAAAATGGCTTCAGATTCTGTGCTGCAACAGATCTTATCCGCAGAGATCGTGATAATTGGCGACTTTAACGCTCACAACGCCGAATGGCTTGGCTTAAGTAAAACCGACCATGCGGGGAGATCTGTTCATAATTTCGCCCTGACCTATGACTTGTCACAACTGGTATCAACGCCCACGCGAGATCTAGATGTAAAAAGTCACTGTTGGACTTCCTGCTGCCCTCTGAATCGGATGGTTGCAAAGTCACCGTTAACCTTGGCATGTATGGCACTATAGGTCAGGTATATTGGCGTTATACAAATAGAGGCAGGTGCACATCAGCGGGTTTAGTGAGAGACTGGTGAGACTTCCTTCTTGAATTCATGCATTCTTGAAGGGTGATAGGAGATAATTCATTGGCCCATGTTTGCATCCAATTCGACTTTGGTAGATGGGGGAAACGTACTGCCGACCATACCGCGGTGCCAGAGCAGTATGCTGGAAATCCAGAAACAAAAGACAACTATTATAACAACTATTATTAAAAGACAGCATCTATGCTATGTGGATGATTAGTACGAGAGATACCCTTTTTACCGGCCGCCCCAATATTTCTCAGGTAACGTCATCGAGAGTCGAAACAAACTTGTGTCTGAAATTGAAATTTCCTTTGCGGAGGCTTCAGATTGGGGTAGACTAAACCTAGTCTATTTTAACCCAAAAAAGGCACAGGTTCGCGTTCACTGAACAAAAGATACTGTTTGTCGTATCACCTCGGTTTGAGAGCACCTTCCTAACTACCTCAGCCAGTATCGGAATCCTAGGTATCGACATATCGAGCGAAGTCCAGTTTAGGGGTCAGTTAGAGGGTAAAGTCAAATTAGCCTTGAAGAAACTCGGTGTGCTGAACAGATCGAGGCAGTATTTTACTCCGACCCACCGCTTCCAACTCTATAAGGCGCAAGTCCGGGATATGGAATACTGTTCTCATCTCTATGCAGGAGCGTCCCAGTACCAGGACGCCCCTGCATAGAGATGTGAACAGTCCCTCTGGACCGCATCATACGAAGAGCGACTCGAACCGTCGATAGCCAAAAGAGCTCCGATCGGCTCGATCCTTTGGCGTTACGTAGAGATGTAGCTTCTCTCTGCATTCTCAATTGTGTATATCATGGTGAGTGAGTGCTCTGAGGAATTTTTCGGACTAATATCTACCGCAACTTTTCCGCCATCGCTCCACACGGCAAAATTTTCATCCCCATCACTTGGATAATTGGCGCTCCACCACTGTGCGCTTTTCAAGACACCTTTTGCCTCGCACAACAAACCTGTGGTACAAGTTATCGTCTGCGGTATTTCCGGACCGATACGACCTTCAAACCTTCAGGAAAAGACCATACTCCTTCCTAAAAGGCATGTGACTCCTGAGTTGCAGTCGTTCATGTCTTTGTGTGTAGTCACTTTTTATCAGGTGACCCGTCTACTCGTTTGCCATAAAAAAAACGAAAATGGACTATAGTAGCAAAAAAAATTTTGTGGACACTATACAAATATTTCCATGGAAAATGCATGTAACCAATGAAAGCAAGGAGGATGTTTACCATGACTCTTGAATCTTACCTCATTCCATTAAATAGGTAATAGAAAGAAGGGACCCCGTAGGTGTCACCATTTCATTAATACACAGAGATCACTTGTCTGACGGTTTGTTACAATTTTTTTAGATTTCTTGTTTTATTTTATGAACCTCTGGAATTTGAACTATCATTCAATCAGGTCAAAATTGGACACTTTAATATTTTTAACCTAATAGCACATATTGCTTACAAATTTTAGCTTTCTACACTTCTTCTTTCCATAAACATGAAGTATTCAAAAATAATATAACATTCTTAGGAGGCCCATATTTATTTAAAAGGTTGCAAAGTTAATCAATCATAGCCATTCTTAACACATTGAGACCTCTCCGTGTCTCGGAGACTACATTAAGCTGTCGGTCCCGGATGCCATCTGAATATTTGTAGCAATCGTTACGGGTAGTTGGGGCTCTATAAATCCGACTACAGCCTTTTTACAGAACTTTTACTGCAGGCTGTGGTGCTCTGTTGGCAGTTATTCCGCGTAATAAATCGAAGTTGCATGAATGCAAATTCAGCGGTCAGTTTTAACTTGTCACAATAATGATAGTAGAAGTTAAGAATTTCAATTAATGATAAAAGCGGTGGCAGTTAAATAATTAAGATTTAAAATTTTGTATTAGACAGTGATAGTCAGCTACAAAATAATTTAAATACCTTTAAATGTAAATAGCACAATCTATGTTATTCTATGGGACCAAATCGTCGGCTTATTGCAAGAAGTCATTATGTGACATATTCATTATTTAGGGAAAACGGCATTTTAGTTTGAGTTAGTTAGTAGTTATGTTAATTAGTCCATATTATCCTTAATACATAAGCTAGAAATTAGTGTGTTTTTGCATTTTGTAGAATATGTAAAAATGAGCCCATTATAGATAAAAACGTATTTAGTGATTTTTTGCAGTTAATGAGTTCTTGCAATAAGCCGACGAAATATTTTGCTCAGGTATTTCATCTACGAATACGTTACAGCATGTCCTGTCTAAGTTTTCCATCAGTGGGACTGTAACACCACGTTGATAAGTGCTTTAGAACGGTACATTAAAAATAAAAGAAGTAAACTATGTTTTAGTGTTTTTAATCATTTATGGAATGAAACACTGTATATCTGACAATACTGATATTTTGCAATACTGATAATTTTGGCATATTATATCTACAGACATAGGTTAATTGCAGTTTATAAAAATTAACATTCATAGTATATTATGTAATTGGAAATGTTATCATTAGAAGTTAATGAAGAAATGCATGCTTACCTAACTGTCAAATAAATTCATAATACCAAAGCGAACTAAAATAAATGAATACTTTTACGAAGTAACACTAAAGTCCTATTGTAATATGTATTTATCAAAGAATTATGTTAAGCACGTAGTAATAAAGATGATGTTGATATACAATCACATCGCGTAATTTGTTATCTTGTTAATTATTATCTTTCTGGAGCTGCAAGTTCGTCCACCTCGTGGAGCGCACCACAATACTCACAAACCACAATAAAGTTCTGAAATATTAAAACAAATATTAGATACAAACAAAAAAATATTTCAAAGTTATTAACTTTGCGGACTAGCGGATGTCTTCTCTGGTCCGATCCTAAGAAAGTTCAAACAAATGTAGAAAGTTTATCGTTACTTTTCATCTTTCGGGGTTGTGATCAATTGCTCTCTCGATAACAATCTTAAAAACTGCAAAACGATTTAATGTATAGTCCTATAATGTAACAATAACTTGTGCTTAAATTTTAGATTAATTCACTCTAGAAATAAATACTGAATATATATATTACACTTTTTTGATTCCAGTACGAATCATAAGTAAAGTCAAAACTTACCAGATTATATCGTAATCTCACTAAGTCCATGGCTCTACGGTAGCTGGGCCAAGCGCCCTGCCGTTGCATTGATTGGACGGTTTTTTCAGTTAATCGGTTTAATTTAGTCCACCCCTCAGGTTCCCTTCTCGGCCTTCTGTTTCTAGGTAAGGTTACCATAGCTAGTACCTCAAAGTTATGATACTAAAGAAATGTTACAAGTTATTTTATGTATAAAAGATGCGTAATTAACTAATGAGGTACTGATGAAGGCAAATTCACTTAATGTAAATAACAAAAATATCAGGACGACAACCAAATAGCTACCAGCACACAAGAATGTAGAAATAGAAATGACAGATTTCTTACAAAATATTAAAAATGACACATTTTCTTAAAGGGTCTCAAGAACAATAAACACAATACAAATATTGTAAAATTCAATAGACAATTGATTGAATAGTTTTATGTTGTAAGCATTATCTCCTAGACAGAAAAAATGTTCAGGTACTCACTATTGTTACAATAGCCCCTCTTTCACGGGAAGTAAGTAACTGGACAGTTAGGTTTGCCATTGTAAAGTTACCTGACAATGTAAAAAGCTAACGACTAGTCATGCTGTCTTTAACCTAGCAAGATCAACCTCGTCGTCGATGCGTATGTGTGGGAAATCTTCTTTCTTGCGCATGTCATGTATATCTTTCCGTAGGACGTCCAGCAGTAGTTAATTATCTTTCTGGAGCTAAAAGTTCGTCGACTTTGTGGGGCCCACCACACTTCTCACAAATCACAATAAAGTTCTGAAATGATAAAATAGATAATGGCTAAAACAATCATTTTTTCAAACTTATTTACTTTGCGGACTAGTGGATCTTCTCTCGTCAGATCATAAGAAAGCTCAAACAAAATGTAAATAGTTTTGTTACTTTGTTATCTCATGGAGTTGTGATCAATTGCTCCTCCTATAACAATCAACGAAAAAATAACAAAACAATTTTATCGTTAGTTTAAAAAAGTAGTGTCAATTTTCAATTATATGTAATTTTTAGGGTACCGTACCTCAAAAGGTAAAAAAGCAACCCTTATAAGATCACTTTCTTGTCTGTCTGTTCGTGTGTCACCACCGATTTTCTCAGGAACCGGTAGACCTAGCAAGTTGAAATTTATACCAGATACTGAGGTCTATGGTCCCTATTTAGTGTATAAAAATCAAGGTCCTGAGTCAACACGATAAAAAGATATGGCCAAATTTCGATTTTCGCGAAAACTTGTAAGTACCAAAATTTACCTTAATTTTCAACTTTTTATTTTACAGAATTTTCTCTATATTTGTGCTGTAAGACCTTGCTTTTAATCAAAATTGACAACTCTAGGTCAATTGGGTCGAAAACCGATATAGTAGTTGGTAGAATCACGAAATTTGGCAAAAAGTAACGTCTTACAGCACAAATAAAGGAATAATTCCAAAAAAATAAAAAAAGTTGAAAGTTAAGATAAATTTTGGTACTTTACTTACTTTAAAATCTACGTAAAATCTAGGTAGGTGCGGAACCCTCGGCGCACGAGTTCGACTCTTACCTGACCGGTTTTTTTTAATCATTTCTACATTTATTTAAATGTATAAATAAAATCAACACTTACCAGATTATACTGTAATCTTAATAGGTCCATCACTTTATAGTAATTAGCTTCGGACTCAGGGCAGTACTTTTCCATTAATTTGACGGCTTTTACAGCTAATCGATCCAATTCAATTAACCCCTTCGGTTCGGTATCATATGCCGTACGTTGCCTTCTATTTCTAGGGTATCTCCAACTGTATGGGGATCTTTGTTCGGCGCCGGCCCTCACTAGCTCCTCACTCGGATCAGGTAACTTCACCATAGTCGAACTCAGACTAACTTAATATCAACACTTATGATACCAATGAAAAGTTACGGGATGCTTTGTATAGGTAGAGACGCGTAATTAACTAATGAGGTACTAATGAAGGCAAACTTAGGTAATGTAAATTACAAAAATATCAGCACGACAACCAAATCGCGACCAGCACACAAGAATGCAGAAATAGGAATGACTGATTTCTTACAAAATATTTAAAAAAACACCTTTTCTTTAAGGGTCTTAAGAACAATAAACACAATACAAAGATTGTAAAAATAAATAGACAATTGATTGGATAGCTTTATATTCGAAGGGTAATCTCCCAGACAAGTTATTAGATACTCCCTATTGTTACAGTAGTCTCCTTCATATGAAGTAATTAAATGGGTAGATAAGAAAAGGTCTGCCATGGTGAAGTTACCTGATAATGAACCGAATGCCCGGTTTTCACTGGAAGAAAAAATTAACCAGCACCAGCTCGATCATAATTTGACCTTGAATGATGGCCCAACTAAACTGATCGAACTTGAATAATTTGCTGATAGAGTAGCTGGCTACAAGAGTAATCTTATGAATTACCGAAACATGCGCCAGTTTGCTATGAATCAGCTAAGGCAACTTTTTAACTTGGTAAGGACTTCTTAGTGTGTTTTGATTTTTCTTTTAAAAACTTACCAAAATATTTTAAAATGACTTAAATGCATCCGATAAGAAATTTTAAATTCAATAGATTTTTATTTTTAATTTATAATGATTGTATTACAGGAATTAAAGTGACTATTTTGGATATGTGAATGTTGATTTTTAAGCAGTAAATTATACAACATACCACTCCGAAGTAGAGTATGTAAATCAGAAGAATATGTAAATCAGAAGTTAACACGTATACGGACCTGTGTAGTAGCTAAGCCCCGTAGGGATTAAGAAATGTATACAATTTTTGGTTATGCTACAGGCATTCAAGATGCGTTGTGACATATGAGGCACAGCTCACAATCAAAATGACATCACAGCTCCAGAACGATGACTTGTCACTCATATTTTCATTCTAATTAATATTAGTAAACAATAATAAACGTTAAATACACTCGAGAGCAGTAAATCAGAATCACATGAAGTCTATTTTTATGGTAGGTATGGGAAGGTAAACGAGCAGACAAGTCACCTGATAATAAGTGGGTAGCGCCGCCATGGAAACCTGCGATTCAAGAGTCACAAATATGTTGATACCCATTGAGTTCTCCCCCAAATCAGGAGCAAGGGGAATTAGGGCTCGGGTAACTACACTCACTCGGTGAATAGCAACAAAATTATTAAAAATCTTGTAGGCTATCTTAGTAAAATAATTTATGTTTAATAAACAATTATATTATCTGTTTCTTAAATGTAATTTCTAAAATGTGTTTGTCATTTATTGCTTAATATAATATTATTACATTCTTCCATTCTTTTATGAAAGCAATTGAGAGCTCTCAAAGCGTGATATGGCGAGGATGTCGTTATCACACGCATCGTCCAAGCTCGTCCTAAGTATGTTCGATCGTACTCACAATCCGATCCAGATTCATTGCTCTCGAGTGTAATAAAACACTAATTGGTATGTTATCTATCAATTATATCATGTCTTTATCTTAACAATCCATGTTTCGTTAATGATATAATGAATCATTTAGAATCGTTAAATATATATATTCGTAATAAAAGTCATAATCGATCTATCATTGGCATTATGGAATAACATTATAATATTAATCATGGATGTATATAATATGTATGTATTTAGAAATATTTAAATTTGCTAATGTCTCGGTAAACGCAGTGTAGGACGCCCACAGGCCAGGTAGAGTGACGATTTGGCTGGCAGGAGCTGGATGCGAGAAGCCGAAAATCGATCAAAGTGGCGTGCAATAGGAGAGGCCTATGTCCAGCAGTGGACTGCGACAGGCTGATGATGATTATGATGATAATGCGCATTCTTTTCACCATAGTACAGGTTCAGCCTAGTTTGGGAGTAGACTGCCGTGTGTGAGATGTGTAACGGTATTATTACTCTCTTTATTACATTTCAAAATACAAATTTCTTGTAATTAATGGTTAATGGCTACCTTATTCAAATTATAAATTTCATTTGTTTATTTATTTCCTTTATACACATCGCGTACATGGGCTTAAGTCCGCTTGTGTACTGGATGTTCAATAAGTTTTAGTAAATGCCTAATTTAATTGTTAAAATGTTCGGTGAATTAAAAGAGTTGTTGAAAGTTTATTTGCTCGATTTCTTCACACAAGACTGAACCATTCGAAAAAGAAATGGAATTCATGACATTCTTTAAAAATTGACAAAGACAGATACAGTATTTATTATCTATTATCGGTTTTTTTGTTTCTTAAATGTAGACTTGCAAAGTTACCTATTTTTGTAGTGTGTACATCTATTTCAATTTTATCAACCTAATTTATTTCTATATGAGTACCGGATAATATTGATTTCTGGCCAACCTATAAAAGTGTAAAAATAGTCATAAATGCGTTCTGACGAACATCTTCACACTTATTAAAAATATTGCATTATTTGGTTAGTCAAATCCCAATTTCAAAAACTAAATAATTAAAAAAGTGTTGCTTACTACTACTACAGTAGGAACCAAAACTTTTTTAATAATAGAATTATGAATCATCCATGCTAGAATGATACCGCTTAGTCTACACGAGTTTTACAGTTATAAGAAAATACTGCGTAACCACAACAAATCTTACGAATAAACAATGACTCCGATATCCCCTTTAATATTCCATCCTTCTTTCTTAACATAAAAGTCTTCAAAGACAGGTATTAAGCCCTTAAAGCAATATTATAATGTTAATAGTTACTTTGTGAGAGCCGAATCACAAAGACGAATTATGGCACGAAGATGTGGTATTATGCCGGCTCCAGCTCTAATCCGGATTGAGCTAGCAATTAAAAATCTTATCATTGGTATTAAATCTCGCCATAGTAAAATATACTCATAAATTGTGACCAATTTCAGCAAAATTCTGTAGAAATTTGTTTTGGAGTGTCTAACCTAGACACTCCTTGTTATTTCTTATATGGTATAGGGAGCATAAACGCAGATGCTTTACTTTAATAAGAGACACAAGAGCATTGCTGCTCTAGGACCTAACACCCGTGAGGTGTTGATTTTCAAATAATCACAATCACAAGTAATGAAATAATTGCTAAATACCAGTTTCCTGTGAGCCTATCACTCCGGTCGAGCCGGCCCATCTGTGAAGCAACGTGGCTCCCCCACGACACGACTACGACATTACTAAAATAAATAAAAAATCATACTACGTGGCCAGTGTCTGAAAAATAATAAAAAGTAAAAATAGAAAATTACCGGTAGAGCTGTGTCCGTACAAAACGTGTTATCGATACCCGAACACGCAGTTGAAATTATCCGCAACGATATTTATAAACTTATTTTTTTCCGATTCTGATGTCTTTCAGACGTGAATGTTTATGACATTACTAAGCTCACAAACACTGAACATTTATTGGTTCTTCAATTATTAGTGCCCGATGTAATCGATATCTTGGAAATCAAAATAAAATAATTTGTTCAAGGACGTGACTTAATCAATCAGAATATTGTTTGATTAGGATCTTCATCAGCATTAATTTGTAATGACCTACTAGTTCTGGTTTCGGTGAAACCCTATACGCGGTTAGAAATTGGGTTATAATATTATCTATTTTACCATTGTTATAGGAAAGGTAAGAGTAGAACTCGTTGGAATGAATAATGTTAGGGAGTCTTAGGGAGCCCCTCCTTAAAATGTGTACGCGTACGATTTGTCTATAAAGTAATTTACATAATTATTTGTAACAAGTCAGTTTATTTTAGTTTTGTTAATGCTTTATTCTCTCCATAACAATTTACGCCCTTAATACCCTGACTAAATTGAACAAATGTGTTTTGTAGTTGTACGTCTTTTTAACTATTCTTTAAAGACCGCACAACATGAGTTTCTGCTTTGTATGTATAGGCACTTTATTTATTCTTTACTTTTTATTATAATATCGTTTAATAAACAGTTCGGACAAGTATTTAAATAGAATTGTTTCATATCTCCTTTGCCGAACTTGTGTTAGATTAAACAGTGATTTCATTCGTTATTTGATTTTTAAGATGTCTCGGCAACTCACAACAAATATTTTTATCTATCATAATGGCTATTTGCATTACTTCAGGTATTTCTACTTAAATAATGTCGTAATTCGTTTGTTAAAAAAAATGCATCTGTGTATTAAAACCAATAAGACTAACTATGATTTTAATGCAGTTATAATGAAGATGGAAGCTAACAAGTGCTTTTTGTTTATGTATTTATTTTCTCAAAATAATAGTTTCATCCATTTATTACAGAAAATACAAGATAAATATAGTAAATAACAAGTACCGTTGCGGCTTTTCAATTACAAAAATTTCCGGTAAAAGTAGTTCAAATGATTTCAATGATACTAATATTACTACCACAATTTCTAACGGATTGCCTACAGGCTTACCTTAAGTTTAGTCGTTATAATGTTAATTCATTTTATTAATAATAATATTAACGGTACTTAATACCACAGGATACCTAAACCAGCGGACGAGTAAATTTTAGCGAAGACTGATCTCTGCCCATAGGACTGTAACGATACAATTATCGCATTTATTTGGGTAGTTATTAAATATTTTTTCTACAACACTTTTAAACACCATGTTTAATAGTTGCTTGTTGCATTACAAAGTTAGGAAACAGAAGTTTACAAAGTTTTAATGCAATGCGTACTCGGTATGGGTAAGTTATTCTACTGTTAAGTATATAATAAACTAAGTAAGAATATTTTGACAATAATAGGTGCTTTTATACTTTGACAGATCAATACGAAATTGCATATATGTGGTCAGAGATACAGAAAAAGGCGACTTTCATCCAGAAATGAGTCATGTTTAAAATATACAAAATAT